CATATATATATAATAAATATATACATAAATATTAATATATATATATATATATATATGTATATATGTATATATATATATATATCAGCGTCTCGAAGCGTCGTGAAAGTGTTAAATGCGGTGTGTTGGAGTGCGAGTCAGTGATGATTCATACAGCCGACTGGTTATCCTACACATACTACCCAAAATCATGTACTTAGTTACAGAGTTGTATATGACTAGAGATATGTATGCTAAAATGAAACCCACGATCATAGGAGTTGAGAGGCGAGTCTTTCTTGGCCGTTTCGGGCCTTTGCTTAAACTCAGTGGTGGTAATTTCAGCCGTTGTGTATACGGACGTGTGCAAGTGGTCGGGGTTGTAAAGTTGTTGATAGTTGCCTACAGCAGGTTATCGATGAAGTCGTGTACTTTGCGGGCTACCTTTTCCATGTCAAGTCGTCTGATAGTACGATTCCCAATCTTCTCATATGCAAAAATTGAAACGCGTTAATGCCGTCTTTGCCACTGAATGGTTTTACAGCTATCGGATGATAAGTCTGGGCTCTACAAAGGGTTGGAGGACAAACTAATGAAACAAGCTATCAAAGAGAGTCTGAGACTGCACGGCTTGAACCAGCAGAACATCAGCACCAACACGACCTCGACCACGCACTCCACAACCACGGTAACCCCCCCACTATACACCACTCATCACCCCTAGCACCACGCAACAGTCAGCCAGAAACACCACCAACACGCATACGACAACCACAAACACCTTGGTACAGACATCCATGGAGACTCTATCTAGGCATGCACATAGTACTCGCTCGGTGGAGTCGTCCCATCACCCAGCGAGTGTCTGTCCAGTGAGTGAAGATACAGAGGCGGGGCGAGCAAGGCGGTTGGCAGCGGCAGAGCGACGGGCCGGATTCCAGGCACAAAACAAACCACTGACAGCGAAAGCTCAAGATACAAATCAATCCATAGTACAACACGGTAGCCGTGTGCCGCCGCAGAAAGGTGTCTCGAGTCAGTGTAGTAGGACAATATGCAATGCGTGTGGTGTGGGGAGGGGTGGGGTTGATAGTGGAACGGGCAGCAAGCAAGACAACGGGTTGCGGGGCAGGGGTAAGTCATTGAACGAGCGTACGAGATCAGTGTCAGCCGATGTCATATGTCTTGACGGCGACGACAACACACCACACAGATGTAACAAAAAAGAAAGGCAATCTCCAAATTGCCAACGGAGGAGCATACATCGGCGCGAGTGACTCCCGGACTGTTTCGATTGAGTTGTCAGTAGGGCCTGATAGTAGTACAAATACACAACACTTACGTGATCAGAAAACACGTGCACTATACAGGTCAACACCCGCGAAACACCGGCCAGCGTCATTCGCACGTCGCACTAAGAGGACTGCAACTGAGCGGAGCCTGCACACGGACACCCCGGCGCAACAACCTACTATCACTCATACTACCTCTCATACTACCTCTCATACTACCACTCATACTACCACTCATACTATCTCTCGTACTACCAATCGGCCGGACGATTCATACACAGTCATATCATTGGACAGCTCATCGGGCGACGATTCCGACGCGGACATACTCAACACAACCTTCACGAAAGCGCCCCACACACCGCGCAGTATACGCACCTCAGTGGCATGGGATACCCCTCACACCGACAAGTCCACTGTAACTCTAAATAAGGCACCGCCGTCAAAGCGCGTTAAAATCACACTTGTGAATTTAACCGCGCCAAATAAGCCGCCAGCGCCGGATAGCCATGTCAGCTGCATTGTGCTGGACTCGGACGAGGACTTGCCGCAGAGTGCAGGCGAGAGCAACGTAGGTCAGGTGAAGCAGTGCACCTCCAACCGTGGCAGCACTAGCCAGCCCAGTACCCAGCCCATTAGCAACGCCCGGGATACCGCGGTAGAGCTGGTCATTGACAAGCGAGAGCGCCAGAGCAACAGCTACTACACAGAGATGAGCACTTGCATCAGCGAGAAGGTGGACCTCTTAGCTCAGCGGGAGTTTACCCGGGCACCGGTATCGGTATCGGTTGTGATTGAGCACGTCCCGCAGTCCGACTTTGTGTGGACGTCTAAGCCGAGTGGTGGGGTAATGAATGTGCTAATGGAGCGGAAGGCCATTCGCGATATAGTGTCGCGCTCGGCTACCAATGCGCATCTCGTGCAGCTCGCAACGATGTGTCGCATCTCGTGCAGCTCGCAACGATGTGTCGCATCAATCCTCAGGTGAGTGTTCTGGTGCGCACGTGTACGCTAGTGTTTGTATGAGTGTGTACGTGTACGCTAGAGTGTTTGTAAGGGTGTGTATCTGTGACTAATAGTCGCGCGAAAAAGGTGTATGTACGATACGAGAGGGTTGTGTACTGCTTCACCTCACATGAGCTTATTGTGGACCCGTAACCGCTCCTCTGTAGCATTTGTGTTGTGTTTTTCTTGACGTCTCAGTGAGGCATGATCGGCCTCTTACATACCCAACTGAAACGCCTATTCAAATCCCCGTGACCCCTCTATCGCCACTCTTGTCACGTCACGTGTACAATGCTGTGCGTAACACACAGGGATTCAATATCCTTCTGCTGGACGGTGATGTCAAAGAGGTCCACGGCGCCAAAGCGATGCACTCGAGAAAGCACCTGCTGAGTTGCTGGGATCCAGATGTACGCTTCTTTGGTTACATAGATGCCCAAGAAGACCTGCAGCCAGCCGAAACGCACACACTCGGGAGGCCCCGTGGTCTACCAACAACCTGTACGGACATCAGAAGTTCCGAACATCTGCTGGTACAGATGGCTGCTCTGATTACGCACGGGGGCGTGCAGGTGGTGACTACGGGCAAAGGGAGTGGGCTGCTGGTGCAGCATACGCTTGCGGGGTATACCACGGCCCTGGCTGAGTGTGTGATACCTTCGAGGAGGCCTGGGCCGCCGAGGGAGAGTAGTGTGTATATCGCCTATGCCGGGTTTGACGGTCTGAAAGTGGCTATGCGTATGGATAACAAACGGCAGAAAGAGGCGCAAGTGGACCTTGAAACAGACCAACGGGGTGCACAGCGGGATCGAAGGGAACGCAATGCAGCATACGAAGATCTGAAAGCGTACAATTTGGCTCAAAATAAACGCAAAAAGGACAACCAACTACAGCAGATCAAACACGAGCGACACGAGCGTTGTGTACAGCACATACAACAAGGACATAAAAGGCCCATTCTGGACACTCAACGGTACCATAACCGATCAGAATTAGGAACACACGCCGCTGAGACCGCAGGCGATACGCACCTGGGCCTTAAGTTTCGGGCAACGGCTACGTTTTGGGAAAAATACATGGAGGGCGTGAAGAAAAAGGCCAAAGCGCCGCGGCTAAACCAGAGCGAAGACACCGAGAAACCGCACAAATGACACAGACTGGTAAGAGGCCCCGAGTGTGAGAGAGCACACTACTTCCACGCGTGCAGTAAAGAGGTACAGGTGCACTTTGAAACTATCGGCCGCTTGGGTACTCAAGGGGAAACAATCCCACACGAGCGGCTACAGTTAGTCACTGGCTCGCTCCTGCCCCCGGCATACGCAGAGTTCCAGTGCTTTGCGAAAGACCTGGCGTCTGTGCGCGTGCAGGTGGCATGGGTAGACGGAGTAGCTAAATCTCAACGCCGTCCACCGCCAACGCCATCGTCAGCGTCCGCGGCGCTGTATGTAGCGTCCAGGTTTGTCGCGGACTACTTCCCGTCGGCAGTTGGGGGGGCTACGCAAACTACGGGGCAATCCGTACCAGCGCACATTCGGCGGTGCCTGGTGCTGAACAAGCTGGCTGCAGGATTCGCCGCGCACGCTGAGGTGTACCAGGCGTACAACACGACCCACAGCACCACCGCACAGGCTGCGCAGCTGCCGTTCAGGTGTACTATTATGGATGTCGTTGCTATGGTTACCAGTATCCTGACGTGTGAGCATAAGGTCAGTTGTCTGTCCTTCGATATCCACGCAGAGGCCTACTCGGCGATGATCATTCAGTACCTCTGCCATGAACTGAGCATCAGCGCCGGCGCCAATCAAATGCATTATGAAATAACGGGCGTATGATGGTATCGAAAATCTAAATAAACTGGGGACACGTATCCCGGTATTAATGGTGCACACGTCCCGGTATTAATGGGGCGCATGTTCCGGTACTCCATTTCAGCTGACACGATCAATCTATTGGTGTGCTGACAAGTGCGCAGAAATCATTGATGAGCTATACCGCCCAGCCCTTTCATTTTTAACGTGCGTGACTTTGGTGTACTAAATTCAAGTTTGTATATATTTTGGCTCAGGAATGGCATTATTTAATATTTTTACTGTGATGCTGGTGTATTAGAATCAACCTTGTATCTATTTCGGGCTCAGGAGTGGCACAATTCTTTTCATTTTTAATGTGATTTAGGTAGACTGAAATCAACCTTAAATAATTCTGAGTTCACGAGTGGCACAATTCTTTTCATTTTAATGGGTGTGATGCTGGTGTAAGATTATAAACCTTGTACGTATACGGCACAATCTGCAGTGGCAATGCGGCCGAGGATGACTGCGGCCCATAATACGTACCTTTCTGTATTTACGTATACATTGAGAAAACGGCGATGTGCGTGCCTATTGTCGCAGAGTTGAAGCGTGCGTCCTGTCGTGAGCAAACGTACCTTCATCCTAGTGCACAGCTTAGCACAATTCGTGGCTGGCGCAGGGCTCCATTCGCCCAAGGCGGACAAATCCATCACCATGTATACACATGCACATGTGGCATTTTCTCTATTTTGCGTGCGTATAGTATCATCCGGAGTATCACATCGTCTTTCGCTAAGGATTTCCCACAATGCCAGCTCACACAGCGGTTCTCTGCCACCCTCACACAAAAAAAAATCATTAAGTGGTTTCACCGTACCGTCATTCGGACTATCGCAGAAGCCCAAGTGTGAGCTTTGTCTGCCCACTGATTTCTCATTGGTTGCTGTCTGTATGTGTCAATCTGCTCAGGGAAATGTATCGTTATATACCTACGACCAACAATCGGTCTGTAAATCAACACTTAAACTATAACTCAGTTCGGAAGGGGATTCGATTCTTCGATGTAATACTACTCCATATATAAACACACACACACACACACACACACACACACACACACATATATATATATATATATAATAATATATTACATATATATAATACATATATATATATATATATATATATATATATATATAATAATATAATATATAATATATATAATACGTAGATAAGTATGGTTTGTAAGTATATACGATTACAAAAAAAATAGGTAATTATATGCACCATATGTGTTAATACGCATACTTTTCCTACTGTTTACAGAGTTATGTGCGTGTGTGTGTGTATGTATTGTATACATATCTTCTTGGTGCATGATCATATCAACGAGTTTATATGTATTACATATTCCTGAGCGGGTCACTATACGTTACAAGTGTGAACACACAAGTAGTGCTTGTTGCATCATAAATACATACATTTTCGCATATCCAGAAATAAAATACAAAAATCAGATACCAACTTATCCAAACCACGTCTGTAGATGTGTAATAAATACATACCCATGAAAAAATATGCATTCTCAATTATATCGCACAACCTTTCGCTTGATCGCAGCGGCGACATTGGGTTCCGTTACTGGTAGGTGTGACTTAGTAGGCGTTGATCTATTTGGAAGGATGTCTTACTGTAAGAATATATATTTTTCAGTTGTTTTTGTGGATCTCTTCAATGTCATCGAGGTCTGACTGTTCATTGCGATATATTGACTCTAAACAAAAAGTAAAATTTCAATGTGCTTCTTTCTATGGGGAGAGGAAAGTCACGGGTGTTGTTTCAAAATGTATTCTTTCTACTAGAGCCATCAGGTATTTCAATGTTGGAATGAGTATGTAGTGCAATAGAGTATATTTATATACAATTATTCATAGCAATAGTGATTGTACACAGGGTAAAGCGTTATTAGACAGCACACTATGTGTTCTGTATTTCTTTATACATATAAAACTCACAGACTACAGAGTGTTCGCCTAACATACATCTCTGACTCGCTCCCAGACGCTCCACTGACTGTCTCTGCTCTCCCTCTCTCTCCCTGAGCGAAATTATGAATTTCTGGATTCTACTACTCTCTAGAGAATGTACATGTAGCCATTTAGTAGTAGCCAGTAGAGAGGCAAGCGTGGTGGCACTAAAAGTTAAAGTTCGGTATTGTTTTAGATCGACTGTCACAGACTTTCACACTCACGAGTCACAGACCACAGTCAGCAGTGTGAGTCGGTGAGTGTTAATCGTCACCGTGTGTATTCACATTACATTTCGAGACTTTCTCATAGCCTACTTCTTGTATAATTTAGAAGGCTATGCCTGTACAATAATGAACATACTCAATTGTCTATATTTTTTGAAAAACAAAAAGGAAAGTGAGTTAAACTTTATTAGAAGACGAAGGGCCGAAGGCTCCACGTTTTCCCTATTTTGGACACATTTTAAAATCTGTCAGAATTAAGTGTTTTGATTGGTCTCTTATGCATCGGTTACTGTGTTCGGTTGCTAAGTTTGTCATAAATTATAAATAAACAGTTCTGAAAGAAGTCCCTCGAGGAGGCGGCCCTGCGAGTGGCTGCGACAGTGCGACGGCCTGCGTATCTTCATAATCATAATTAATAATTATGATTTAGATGTGTAATTTAGAAGGCTATGTATGTCATCAAATTGTTCACATATTTTTCAGCAGGGTAAAGCTGAAAAGGTACTTATGCAGGCGTAGTTGTACAGTATAGGTTTTTTAAACACTTGTACCCTACGTATGTGTAAAACTATATAATAATAGAATACAATTACCCGTTTATATAGAGATAACACTTTGTATAAAATGCCGACAGGAAAAAACTGTGTTGTATGCGGGGGCGGTGGCTTCATCGGATCGCACCTGGCCAAGAAATTAAAGGAAAATGGAAACCACGTGCGAGTAGTGGATTGGAAGCGCAACGAATACTTCCAAGAAGTAAGTGATAAATTACAGTATGCTGTTGGTTTACAAGTATCACTATGTATGTACTGATTTTGAACAACCCAAATTCACAATAGGCGATTATCAAGGTTCGCACAGGTATTATCGCTGGCGTGAGATTTACCAATACTGTTATTGCTTGTGTACACGATTATTTGCACCTAGATATACTCACTCTTTGTCGACGTATGCTACGCTCTGTATGACCTCCTTCCTTTGAAGCGCGCGGTATGTGCGCGCCTACGGCTATAACAGAGTGGGAAAAACACAACATACATACCGAGACACGTTTGGAGTTATATGAAAACCGCCTTCGTGCTACATTCATGGTAAAAAACAATTGATTATAAATTGAATACAGTCTGATGGCAAGAAGAAATAGTGCAGAAGCATTTATATTCTGACTGTTCACGCTATCAGTGGTAATGTACTGAGAGTGAGCTTTGAACAGAATATGATGTGTAATACTCATCGATACACTTTATAAGTGTAGTAGATAGAAAGCAACTGATGAATATGGGATCCAAGATGACAATCTTATATCCATAAATATAGTACTCCTCAACCAACTTGTGTGCGTCTCAACTAGGATTGTGTTTGTTACTTCTGTACAACGCATGAACACATAACTGACAGTGAAACGATTGGTTTTCATTTGGATTTATTAATTTCTGCACCAATATTTCAATGGCGACTTTCATGCATATCTATGCAGAAGTTCAGAGTTTGAGCTCCTCAGTTTCTACAATACACCACAATCATGTGCGACTAATAATATAATACATTGCATATCTCTATACATAGTAGATATTGTATACATGCAAACCGACCAAGTCGGAGATTGCAAATGAATTGAAACCGCAATAGATAATGCAGCACTGTGCTGAAAACTTGAGAGTATCGAATAGCGGGTTTGTATCGTAGATGCCTCAGTACGCCAACGCCTACAAACTGATTGTGTGTTCATTATTATTAGAGCGTAAGGCTTGAAAAAAATAGACAAATGTACTCGCGTTTGGATACGGCATGTGTGTTTGTATCGCCTTCGTCATGTAATTTGTATGAATTGTATACGGTGTACTGAGACTTATCTTGTGTTGTTGAGTTCACATCCTGAACTGTATGGTAGTAAAGTTTGAGTTATTGCATAGCATTAGGTGCATGGCAAGGCCTATTTTTCTTGACTGTGAATAGTTGCCAATGAATCGCTCATGTTATCTCAAATGATACTCTCGAACTCGCTCCTAAATATGGTCAATACTACCTATGCGCATACCGAATCATACTTAGAGACGAGAGACTAACTATGATAACACGCTTATATGTGTGGCACTCTTGTCGAAATAGTTACCACGCTTCATAATACCGAATCATACTTAGAGACGAGAGACTAACTATGATAACACGCTTATATGTGTGGCACTCTTGTCGAAATAGTTACCACGCTTCATAATATTAATGATCGCAATTCGTTGCCATAGTGATTTTGGGGAAGGGGGTGAATGTTTTCAGGTCGAACCCTATTTCTTTTAATTGAAAGACAGTATATCATGATGGTTGGTGGAAGTATCGCTTCTATATGAGTGGTGCGCTCATGGAGGTATATGCTCTGTTACAGTAGGAACCCTGGCAAAATCAACTAACTAATTGTGTCTTGTATAATATCGCATGATAACATAATTTAAACTAAGATATAGTAAATTTAAAACTAAATGATAGTAAATTATCAAAACAATTCAACTGAACTATAGTAAATTGTAGTGGCAGCCATGCCTACGCGTAAGACGAACCCAACTGCAACCCACAGCCTCCTACTAACCTCATCGACTAACACACCACACAACTACCTCAGAGCGAGTACTGCGATGAGTTCATTTTGGGCGATCTCCGAGAGAAGTCTGTGGCTGCCGCTGCCACAAAGGGCATGGATATTGTATACAATCTAGCGGCAGATATGGGTGGTATGGGTTTCATCCAGTCGAACCATTCACTTATCCTATACAACAATACGATGATTAGTGTCAACGTACTCGAAGCGGCTCGTGAGGCCAAGGTATCTGTTTGCTTGATTTATCTATTGGAAAATTCAGAAACAGGGGATTGGCATATAGCAGGATTAAGTCTGTGAGCATGCTGCGTGTTATGTAGCAGTTCCGGCTCTAAAAGTTCGAAGTATAGAGGTAGCGTCAATATATGTATAGTGCATATGAATATACCGTCTATATATATATAGTATATATAGTGGCAACGTCAAAATTTATAGCATATAAAGAGGCAACGTCAATATATATATATAGTATATAATGTAGTATCATCAATATATATATATGTATATATATATATATATATTGCGACAATGTCAATATAGAGTATACACAGTGGTATCGTCAATTTATGGAGTAAATATTGTGGTATCGTCTATATATAGTATGCACGGTGGTAGCGTCAATATATGCATATATATATATATTTATATATATAAATACTATATACATATATTCATATATTCATATATATATATATATATATATATGTAATAGGGGCCGAGATATGATATTGATGTTCTAATAACTGGTAGTCATTGGTGCTCTATCACCGCTGAGTTACCCTACTAGTTAGCTAGTTTTAATGTCCATTGAATCACGACCAATTGTTTTTCTTTCTCTATTATCCCACCGGCGTACCGCTACAACAGCATTCACTCACTATTCACAATCACTCCCACTCTCCAGGCGAAAACCGTGTTCTATGCCTCGTCCGCCTGTATATACCCAGAACACATCCAGGACTGTGTAGACAATCCAGGGCTTAAAGAGGTAGACGCTTGGCCGGCCGCTCCCCAGGTAAATACGACAGCGCGTCTGAACGACAAGCAGCGCGTGCTATGTTGACATGGATACGCTAGATTGTCAGTTGTTTTACAGTGTACTGATATTAGAGAGTGCGAGTGAATTTGCTGTGTGTATGAAAGTATCTGTGTGAGTGTGAAACCCAAAGATAAACCCAAAGCCAGTTAATTGGAACAGGCCATTAGGTTAGTATGTTGTACTTGATTCGGCGAGGAGTATGTATATGTACTCATAGCTGTAGGATTGGATTGAAATTGATCATTTCAAAAAAAGGGGTCTAATTTCTTTTAGCTTAAACCCTGAAAGCCCTTATATACGAACCTTTTTGGTACGAATTACAACTGTTGTCTGGCGTGCTATGACATGTCTGTTCGGTGTTGATATGCGCCTCACTCAATTCAGGGTTTTAGGGTTTAGTATAAGGAAACCTGTTTAGATAGTGCGTATTCATACAGATAGCCTACGATGTTTCTTATACTGATAAAGCACGATGTTTTTACCGAAACCTGCATGCTAGGATGCTTACGGCCTGGAGAAGCTGATGTCAGAGGAACTACACAAACACTATGCCAAGGACTTTGGCATGAATACACGTATTGCGCGCTTCCACAACATCTACGGTCCACAGGTGAGAGTACCACGATGGCATTTAGTTGTACCATTGACAGGTTTTGAATAGGAATGCTTGTTCATAAAGAAATCCTAAGCCGCTAACAGTACGTTATAAAATATGGGATTATTAGGCGAGCGATGTATATATAGTTCATGCCATGGTGGTGTATATATTTTCGTTGTTACTGTACGGAGGTTTGGTGAGAGTATCACGATGTCATCTAGTTCCATCACTGAATAGGCGAATAGTATGGAGTCGACTAGTTGTTGTTAGTTGGTAGGTAATAATTCGACAAGCTGCAGCCTTCGTACTACTTGCTGATTTTCTTGTTCCCAAAATCCTACTAGCAGCGCTTGAAAAACACCCAAACTGGTCGTGAGGCAATTATGGTTGTTGATAATCCAAGTACAATGACCGGACTCACTATTTAACCCCAATTCATCACTATATATATATATATATACGTAACCCAGTACATATGTACGTATATATATATATATATACGTATATATGTAAATATATATATATATATAGAGTAAACCCAGTACTCCGCTGACTGACTTCATAGCTTCAGTACACCACTGTTTCTCTATATCATCCCAATTCACAACCGACTATCTACATACCCCCAATACACCGCTGGCTATTCACATTTCCTCACCTCCACACAGGGAACCTGGAAGGGCGGCCGTGAGAAAGCACCGGCTGCCTTCTGCCGAAAGGTCATCGCAGCGGACACAGAAATGGAAATGTGGGGTGACGGTCTACAGACACGGTCGTTTCTATTTATAGACGACTGTGTGGCTGGTATAATCCGCCTCACAGACTCGGACTATGGCGAGCCCATGAACATCGGGTCGGAGGAGATGGTGGCCATGAACGACTTCGCTAAGATGGCTATGTCGTTTGAGAATAAGGTGTGGGTGTGGGGTGTGAGGTGTGAGGAGGTGCAGGCGGAAGGATTGTGATTGGTATTTTTGAAGGTTCACTCTAGTTCACTGTCCTCACTACCCCAACTGGCCAAGTCCCTGACTAAAAAATGTTTAAATTGGTTTAAAAAGCTCGTAGGTTTTGTGCATGTGTGCGATGGAGTTCGTGTGTGACGAGAACAAATTGGAGATGAAGTAGGTAGGTTGTACGATAGTGGCTGCGTAATCAGAATCACACGTTTTATTGGGCACACACACATATATATATATAGACTTTATATATATATATATATAAGCACTGCTAACAATAAAACCACTTTATTGTACAGAAATTACGTATTAAACACATCCCCGGACCGGAGGGTGTCCGTGGACGCAACTCCAACAATGATCTGGTGCGAAAGGTACTCAATTGGGACTACACCACGAGCCTGGAGGAAGGGCTGAGGAAAACATACTACTGGATCAAAGACCAGGTAGGTGCAAGCTATGCATGTTCGCCTTGACTAGGAACCAATACATAGCACTACACGTGTGGTATAGCTACCCATGTGGCATAGACCCCCAGGATGCTCATATACATATACAAACATACATGTGGCGAATGTTTCAGCACCTGAATGCCTGTGTTCAGGTTGATGGGCCATGAACAAAGCCTATGTTAAAGTATGTCCAAAGCGCCTGTTAGTCGCTATTAGCTTGCTGTATGTTGTATAGCTAGTTACGTTGGGGCCGTGTGTTGTGTGTTTCCTGGCAGAGTTGTACTGAGCTTATATCAATGATACTCACGTGAACAACATAGACGTTCCTGCAGTATAGAGCGACTATACTGCAGTATAAAGGTGGAATGCAGAAAGGGTACATACACATACACTTTATTTACCTTCAGTAAGAGCCACTTCAGTAGTTGGAACGTAGACCTGATTTGATACGGGGAGTCGGCAAACGCCTATA